CACTCCACCCAGTACTCTGGGGGTCCCCTACACCCCACAACAGGATAAAGGGTGAGATTTGACAGGGTAAGTGAGGGGTGAAAGGGGGTTGAAAGAAGAAGGTAAGAGAGGGGAGATCGAGAGAGGGGAGATCGAGAGAGGGTAAGAGAGGAAGATGGGGGGGAAGGAGAGAGATAAGAGACTCCGAGATGTTGAGAGGGGATGAAGAAGGGGGAAGGGGAGGGGAAGGGGGTGGTAGAGAGAGACCCGGGAACAACCGGGTACTCTAGCTGGTATTTTATAATAGAACTCTGAGTTAAAAATAGGCAGTAGCAAGTAGTGAGTTGCAGTAAGATCAACAAGTTGCAGTAATCAGCTTATTGCAATAAGGTTAACACCACCTTGCTGAGGAAGTCAAGTTTTAGGAGCACAGCTGTTGGGGAGTTGTCGGAGATGTTGGGAGTTTCTGGGGGGTGTTTCTGGGGGGTGTTTCTGAAGGGGGGTGTTTCTGAAGGGGGGTGTTTCTGGGGGGTGTTTCTGAAGGGGGATGTTTCTTAGGGGGGAGGGTGTTTTTGGGGAGGTGTTTCTGGGGGGGAGGGGGTGTTTCTGTGTTTCCGGGGGTGTTTCTGGGGGTGAAGACACGTGGTGGTTGGCTCGTGTTAGGTCACGCATGGTTGGTCTGGTGTTCCTCGGGGCTCCATGTCACGCCAGTGACTTTTCTTGACGATTGATTTTGCTCGTTTGAGGGCCAAGAGTTCCCAAGAAATCTGTGTGTTACTAATTAATAGTCATCAAACGTCTTTAAGTTGACTCAAAAAGTTGCAAGCAGGTCAAGTTGGAATGTAATCAAGTTGCAGAACAATCAACATCCTACACAACAAATGTGAAATTTCGAATTGAGTAAAGGATGACTCAAGTTGCAGAAGGACAATTTGCAGGAGTAAGCTAGAGACAGCTCCAGATGCAAAGGTGCCAATAAACTACAAAGTAATCAATTTACAGAGGAGCGAACACGTTATATATATATATACACACATAAAGAGCTCGGCAACTTACTAATTCTCAATCAACACGAGGAAATCAACAAGTTGCAGAGAAGTTGAACAAGTTGCAGGGAAGGGAAAGGAGGGGGGGAGAGGAGGTAAGAACAGATGAGAGAGTGTGGCGCCAACTTAGGACCCCAGGAAGCCCCACCAGAGGCCGCCCGACCCCCGCACTCCGCTATGCTTTTGTTGACGACTCAGGGGGGCACATTTTTCCACCTTCGAGGAAGGGAGGGGGAAAAAAAATTCATTGCGCACCGGGAACTAATATTCCTCTTTTGTTTTAGCCCAAGTTGATTACCCCGGCGTTAAGTTTCTTTGATGGCGCACCGGGTGGGCTTCCCCTCTGCACGGATTTCATAGCAGAGAGAGAAAAAAGATGACAAAATAATGAAAGGTCATACTGAGTTGGAGAAAAGTGGGCGGACCTCTCCTCACCTTTCCTAGCTTTGATTAGCTGGCCACGAGGCCAACTCTTCCTCCAGAATTCAGAGAATTTCGTCATCGAGTCATTAAGCATCGCTCTACTCTTCTCATGTTTTTATATATATTTTGGTCCGTAATTATTGAATCTTCGTTTGGCGTATTTCATAGTCGCCGGCCCAAGGAAATAAGCAATAAATTAGAATAAGAAAATCATTTTAAAGGGTCAAGGGAAGCTGAAAACAGGTATAAGACGTTTGATGGTTATTAATTAGTAACACACAGATTTCTTGGGAACTCTTGGCCCTCAAACGAGCAAAATCAATCGTCAAGAAAAGTCACTGGCGTGACATGGAGCCACGAGGAACACCAGACCAACCGAGACCTCACACCAGCCAACTACAACGTGACAAGACGTTGAGAAATAAAACGCTGTCTTCACCCCCCCCCCCCTATTAGGTAGAAAGCACCCCCCTCCCCTTATTACGTAGAAAGCACCCCCCTCCCCTTCCCCCCCACATCCCTCCACCCCAGCACCGTCTTAGGACCCCCACCCCCCCCCTCCCCCTTCCACCTAACCAACACCACACCGACTAAAAAAAAAAGGGAGCATTCATTAAGGTCTTTTGAAAAACAATAAATTGGTCTTTGGTAATTATCCGCGGAGTGTATGGAGGCAGGGCAGGGCAGGCAGGTAGCTGTGCTCATTAGCGACCCGACCTTCGACCTCACCTGAGCAAGGAAACACAGGTGGAAGGACAAATCTTAGAATATATTCAGTCGTTCCTCTCTCTGCCAATCCCGAATACTAATTCTCTTTCAAACAAGTATAAAGATAGAGAAATGGACTATCGTGGGGGAGTTAATAAGTCAGTATTTGACTGATATATCCAACTCCTGACCAAGATGGTATTTTCAATGTGTAAAAAAAAATCCAGTTATTTGTCGTCTAAACCACAGAAATAATATTACATGGATTTGTGCTCAGTTAGGTGTAGGTGAAGTGGGTGAATGAGGATGACTTACCAGCGGTCAGATTCACGAAGCAGTTACGCCAGCATTTACGAACGTGTACATCTTTCCTCAATCTTTGACGGCTTTGGTTACATTTATTAAACAGTTTACAAGCACGGAAACTTCCCAATCAACTCTCGTTATTATTATAAACAGCCTCCTGGTGCTTCGCAGCTCATTAACTGTTTAGTAATTGTAAACAAAGCCGCCAAAGATTGAGAAAAGACGTACACGTTCGTAAGTACTTGCGTAACTGCTTCGTGAATCTGGCCCCTGGTCTTGACGTTTATTAACCAAGACGTGAATGACCCTCAGCTTGGTTAATGGCCTCGAACAGTCTCGTTCAAAACAAGGCGGGGAGAAGGGGAAATAATAGATGAGGGAAGGAGCAGGAGAGGGAAGAAGGGGGGAGGGGGAAATCAAGGGGGAGGGGAAGTGAGTATAGTGTGTTAAAATGTGCTTAATGGTGTAACAACCATACCCAACTGGGTATGGTTGCTCAAACAGATGATCCCGTCTTGACGGGCTTCTGTCATCCCTTAACCCAGACTGAACATCTTTAAAGTCTCAAGAAACCAAAGTCTCTGTCACACTCCAAAAGACATAGACATATGAGGCTGGTACTGAGAGCACTGAACCGTCCGCCAAGACTAGCGAGAACGGACCCTTACGAAGCACACAGGACCATCAACAGCACCTTTCAATAGAGACCACGCAACCCGTATTCATCTGCTTGTACCTGATGAGTCCAACCACAGATGAGCGGTTGGACTCTGATGATGAGGGTTATCTTCTTATCTTGAGTTGATTTCGGGGCTTTAGTGTCCCCGCGGCCGGTCCTTGACCAGGCCTCCACCCCCAGGAAGCAGCCCGTGACAGCTGACTAACACCCAGGTACCTATTTACTGCTAGGTAACAGGGGCATAGGGTGAAAGAAACTTTGCCCATTTGTTTCTGCCTCGTGCGGGAATCGAACCCGCGCCACAGAATTACGAGTCCTGCGCGTTATCCACCAGGCCCTACGAGGGTCAACACAGTGGAGATCCACTGCTGTACGGAGGAACTACAAGTACAAACTGAATGAAACTGAACTCAATCTTGGAAGTTTGGAATCTTTTCATAACACTAATAAATTCACTAGGCTCGTCCAGGCGGCGGCCGACCTCAAAAAGAGGCATTTGACAATTTTAACGCAGTCCGGGCCGTCCTCATCAACACTAGGCCGTCCTCATCAACACTAGGCCGTCCTCATCAACAACAGGCCGTCCTCATCAACACCAGGCCGTCCTCATCAACACCAGCCCGTCCTCATCAACACCAGGCCGTCCTCATCAACACTAGGCCGTCCTCATCAACACTAGGCCGTCCTCATCAACACCAGGCCGTCCTCATCAACACCAGGCCGTCCTCATCAACAACAGGCCGTCCTCATCAACACTAGGCCGTCCTCATCAACACCAGGCCGTCCTCATCAACACCAGGCCGTCCTCATCAACACCAGACCGTCCTCATCAACACCAGGCCGTCCTCATCAACACCAGGCCGTCCTCATCAACACTAGGCCGTCCTCATCAACACTAGGCCGTCCTCATCAACACCAGGCCGTCCTCATCAACACCAGGCCGTCCTCATCAACACTAGGCCGTCCTCATCAACACTAGGCCGTCCTCATCAACAACAGGCCGTCCTCATCAACACTAGGCCGTCCTCATCAACACCAGCCCGTCCTCATCAACACCAGGCCGTCCTCATCAACACCAGGCCGTCCTCATCAACACTAGGCCGTCCTCATCAACACTAGGCCGTCCTCATCAACAACAGGCCGTCCTCATCAACACTAGGCCGTCCTCATCAACACCAGCCCGTCCTCATCAACACCAGGCCGTCCTCATCAACACCAGGCCGTCCTCATCAACACCAGGCCGTCCTCATCAACAACAGGCCGTCCTCATCAACAACAGGCCGTCCTCATCAACACCAGGCCGTCCTCATCAACAACAAACCGTCCTCATCAACAAAGGCCACATGCTTGTTAATCTACTCGTCAAACTCCCCATACTTACGACTGCTAAACACTTTACACACGATTCACAAGTGATGGCGTTCGAACATTTCTCGATCAGTGCTTCGCTAACATTGTTCGAATCTCACGTCTGTATAAACGCTTCATTAACGTACTACAAATACACAACGACGCATTCGATCCCTCTAAAACAACAACAACAAATACAGTCTATAAACACCTAACCCAGCCTAATTTAGGCCTAACTATACACCAAATTCTAATATATAATAATTTTACTTTATATATGAATTTTGTTCAATACACAGTTTTTTAATAAGCGATTCCTGCTTAAACTAATTCTCTTATATTCTATCATATATGAAATGATCTAAATTATATTGTCCTGGGCTTATATTTAAATTACATTGTTGGCAACTTTTAATACAGCAGGATCCAACTAAAAACAATTAAATAATTTGTTTACATTCCATAATTTGTTGTAAATTAATCCAGCCAATTATATAGTCTAAATGTCTTCATGGGTAAATAGTGAATTGAAATTCCGACCAGAGTTTATTGTTTGGTTTTGCAGTTTGTTTGTTTGTGTGGTCCGGGAGGTCAGGTCTAGGATCAGCTGCTGGAGTGGAAGACTGAGACCTAGGATCAGCTGCTGGAGTGGAAGACTGGGACCTAGGATCAGCTGCTGGAGTGGAAGACTGAGACCTAGGATCAGCTGCTGGAGTGGAAGACTGGGACCTAGGATCAGCTGCTGGAGTGGAAGACTGGGACCTAGGATCAGCTGCTGGAGTGGAAGACTGAGACCTATAATCAGCTGCTGTAGTGGAAGATTAGGGGTTTATGATTAGGTGCTGTAATGGAAGACTGGGACCTAGGATCAGGTGCTGTAGTGGAAGATTAGGGGTCTATAATCAGCTGCTGTAATGGAAGACTGAAACCTAGGATCAGGTGCTGTAATGGAAGACTTCAGACCTTTGTCTGAATCTACTTCTTGAGGATTATTAAGACCGCTTGAGTGCTTTCTGGCCATCAAGCAAAACACCTCAATCCTGGACAGTGTCCATGTTTAAATTAAACTCACAGTGTATATATATATACACCCAGAAGTGAGGTATACTTTTTTCTATGTGTATAGCTTGGGCACTTAGGTCTTTCTGGCCTGGTGTTTCCCCTTAATGCCTATCAGCCTTTGGAGGGTTGTTAAGGCAGCAGTTTACTGACCAACCAGCAAGCAGGGGATGTGTCACAATAACGTGGCTGAAGTATGTTGACCAGACCACACACTAGAAGAAGGGACGACGACGTTTCGGTCCGTCCTGGACCATTCTCAAGTCGATTGTGAATGATCCAGGACGGACCGAAACGTCGTCGTCCCTTCACCTTCTAGTGTGTGGTCTGGTCTACACCAACCAGCAAGTTTTCTTAGCCCAGGGTTAAAGTAAACTCTTTATGTGTATATACACCAAGAAGCTGGTGACACTTCTTGGTGTATATACTCCCGTATATACACACTATACTGAGTATACTGTGTGTACTCCGACCTTATGTTTGACCCCAATTCCGTGTAGACTCAGCACGTGTGAGTGACAGAAGGGTATATACGCCCCATCCTCAGTTTACCTGAGGATGTCGACCAGGAGGGCTGGTCGACGACCGGGCCTCAAGGTAACCTCAAGGTACGATACCTCGCGCCGCTCCTGTGCCCCCTGTGCCACTGTTCCTGTGCCAGGTAAGTCTACTACGGGCTCACATAGCCCGTGCTTCTTGGAACTTGTTCCGAGGAGCTGAATCTATAACAATAACAACAGGTACTTCGCGCTAAGCGACCAGGTCCGTATTTCCCTTCGTCGCTGGAAATAGCGAACAAGCAAGAAGAGAAGAAAAAATTGAAAGAAGGGAATTCCAGTTGGATGGCAGGGCGGGTGGAAGAGCGTGCTGGAAATTGCTTTCTCCATCAAAGCCTCGCTCCTCCGAGACCTGGATGAGGTCAAGACGCAAGACTGGTGGACAAGTAAAGCACATGCGCGTACAAACACGGATCCGGGTTCGATTCCCTGACGAGACTGAAACAATTAGGCAGAGTTTCATTTTTACCTGATGCCTTTGTTCACCTAGTAGTAAATAGGTACATGTGAAGTTTAGGATGTGTGAGAGACAGAGAAATACACATGTGACAGAGAAAAATTAGGTCAGGGGGTCAGTACATTAGATAATCGACGGTTGGAAGGTCTGGGACCGAGAGCTAGATCCTGCAGGCACAAATGGGTAAACACACACACGTACAACTGAGTACAAGATGGAGAAGCAAGTTGGAATAACTGGGAAGACACGGAACTGGAGTCAAGGAGTACCTGAAGGATGGAACACAGAGAGTCACAGTGAAGACACGGAACTGCGGGTCAAAGAGTACCTGAAGGGTAGAACACAAAGGGTCACAGCCAGAGAAGAGGTTTCGAGCTGGAGGAGTGTAGCAAGTAGGGTCCCACAAGGCTCGATCCTTGGACTATTACTACCTCTAATTTATATGAACGACCTGCCCGAGGTATGGTGGTGAGAGTGATTATCAAGAGAAAGAGTATTTACAACTATGTACCACTTGGAGATGATGGATCTTGGATGCGAGCTGGATCATTCATTTTCTAACGAACGAAACCCAGTCAAGAAGTACAATTCAGATCATCCAACGGGAGAGCTCAGCCCTCCAGGGTACTGTATCATCCGTCGCAGACATCACTTGGATTTCCATGAGAATAGACAACACAGAGGACACAGCAAACCTCCAAACTTACGTAATCAATCAGATCTTTTAATGGGCCACAGAAAATAACATGTTTAATGAAGGTAAGTTTTTCAGCTCCTGGGTTATGGAAAAAAATAAACAATCAACACAAATGACGCATAAAAACGCAGTTAAGTTATAACATTGAAAGAAAAAACAATATAAAAGATATGGGAGTACTCATGTCGGAAGATCCTACTTTTAAAGAACACCGTAAAGTAGCCGTCACAACTGCAAGAAAAATGACAGGTTGGATGATAAGAACTTTTCAAACAAGAGATGCTTTACCACTAATGACACTTTTCAAGACGCTGGTGCTCTCTAGGGTGGAATATTGTTGCATACCAACAGCCCCATTCAGCGCTGGATAAATTGCTGACCTGAAGAACATACAAAGGTCTTTTACTGCTAGAATCCACAAAATATCTAAATTATTGAGACCGACGAAATTGTTTACATGTGTATTCTCTTGAGCGCAGGCGGGAGAGATACATAATAATGTACACGTGTAAACTAGTAGAGGAGCTGGTCCCAAACCTGCACACAGAACTAACACCACAAGAGACCAGGAGGCATGGCAGGATGCGCAGAATAACCCCATTGAAGAGTAGAGGTGGCACAACTATATCCGCTGCCGTTAGACAGCTGATACGGGCTGCTTCAGGGGATGTGTGTGAGTTTTAGAGAGAAATATATGTAGTAGATATAATAGAGGCTCTTAGGTGCCGCTCTGAGCTCCGGAGTCAGTAGAGTGCTCTTGTATCTCCCTCGGGTCTTCCCTCCTTCCACAATCAGTACAGCTTCCAGTGTCTTTAGAGGTTACCTTTCTTCGGTTCTCGAGCTCAAATATATCATCTAGTAAGATTTCTAACTCTACTTCCCGGACCATCTCACTCGGTCTGGACCTAACGTGACAGTTTATTCCCAGATTTAAGAGAGTGAATTGGTCTTCGGTGAGGTTGATTCCAGTGAGATTTAAGAAACCATCCCTGGGTCGAGGAACCGTAATGGGACCTCCAAATAATAATGTCAACTTCTTGATTATCCTCGTCTCAGTGTTATGGAGGTGTCGCTCCGCAAGTTCGTCGAGGTTTAGCTCGATTCTAGTGCCTAGGTCCTCGTCAATGTCACTCTGTTTCCTTGTGTCTATATGCTGCTGTTGGCATGTTAGGCTACTACTGATCACATTCTTTGCTTTGCTTTGCTTTGTGCACCTGATTAAGGATCAGATCGTGGCGATATCCTCTCGTGAAAGCTTGGGTTCTTGCTGCTGGGTCGTGTATTCTAATACTAGTATATTTTGGTAGCAGTGCAGGCGATGAGTCACAATAACGTGGCTAAAGGAAGTTGACCAGACCACACACTAGAAGGTGAAGGGACGACGACGTTTCGGTCCGTCCTGGACCATTCTCGACTTGAGAATGGTCCAGAACGGACCGAAACGTCGTCGTCCCTTCACCTTCTAGTGTGTGGTCTGGTCAAGTTGGTAGCAGTCTTTCCTTTAAACATATTTCGTTGGAAACGATAGACAGTTTTAGATTTATGATTCTGGCAGGAATCTTCTCGATATTCCTTAAATTTTTCTTCACTGAAGCAGGAAGTTGAAAAATTATATATACTTCCTTTGGGAACTGGATTCCGGTTGCCACGTGTATGTACGAGGGTGATGAAGGTGAAGCAGTGTAAAGCAGCCTCTGCCTTCTGAGGTCACAAGTCAACGTCTCAAAGGCGGAGCCGAAGCCACACTTCACACTTCCTCAAGCCATTCAGAGCAAGCGAAGCAGCACACCCTCAACTGTTAGTTAATCTTCTCTCTCTCTCTCTCTCTCTCTCTCTCTCTCTCTCTCTCTCTCTCTCTCTCTCTCTCTCTCTCTCTCTCTCTCTCTCTCTCTCTCTCTCTCTCTCTCTCTCTCTCTCTCTCTCTCTTCCTACTTCCCAGTCTACCAGTCTCTCCCTCCCAGTTCTCTCTTCCTTTATCCCTCCCTTGCATTAGACAAAACATACTCGAGTAACGTAAAATATACTTTGACTTGACGTTGAATTATCGTTATCGATGTTAAATTACCGGTACCGATGTTGAATCAACGTTAAAACGAAGTTACGAATGTTGAATCAAAGTTGAATCAAAACTGAAACGTTGATAACAGACTTGAAATAAGTTGAAAAACACTCTATGGACAACCAACCCCATATTTCAAAACACTCTACGAACAATCAATCGCACTTTTCAAAACACTCTATGGACAACCAACTGCACATTTCAAAACACGCTATGGACAACCAACCGAACATTTCAAAACACTCTATGGACAATCAACTGCACATTTCAAAACACTCTATGGACAACCAACCGAACATTTCAAAACGCTCTATGGACAACCAACTGCACATTTCAAAACACTCTATGGACAACCATCAGCATATTTCAAAACACTCTATGGACAACCAACTGCACATTTCAAAACACTCTATGGACAACCAACCGAACATTTCAAAACACTCTATGGACAACCAATTGCACATTTCAAAACATTCTATGGACAACCAACCGAACATTTCAAAACACTCTATGGACAACCAACTGCACATTTCAAAACACTCTATGGACAACCATCAGCACATTTCAAAACACTATGGACAACCAACTGCACATTTCAAAACACTCTATGGACAACCAACTGCACATTTCAAAACACTCTATGGACAAACAACCGAACATTTCCAACTTCATTCGCGTCATTGTTTTCCGCAATAGAAGTGAATCCTACTTAAAGACTGGCATGGCTGTCGACCCCCAACCATTATCAGACATTATCTCTTATAGACAAGAGAGAGATAACATAAGATATAGAATCAGATCATTAGACAACCAACAGTTAGAAAGGCGGGATCCAAGAGCTAAACGGCTCGATCATGCAGGCGCTAATACGTGAATTCAAGCAAAAAGAGAAACATTCAAATTCCACCAGCAATCCTTCATGAAAATAGTTTATCAAATTGCAGCGAGGAAGTTGGTTTGAGGAGACACAAAGGGCCGGTCAGAGAGGACCTCCACACACACACACACACACACACACACACACACACACACACACACACACACACACACACACACACACACAGAGGGCGCTGCTATACTGTTGCTTCCACTTCCCCGACCGTCTCCTGCAGGTGACGCCTCCAGGGCAACACTGCGCTTTGATGTGGTGTTGCCATACGGTGAGCCTTCCCCAGCTCTTCATTTCGGCATT